CTCACATCGTTTATAATGATATCTAAATTATATCGTATCAACAAAATTTTAAGAAATGTATCATCATATAAGTTTGGCCCTTGTCACCAGATGAGCCCCTTTCTTCTACTCCTCCACAGTCAAGTTGTTTTCAGGTCCTCATAAGAAGGGATGGATTGTCGGGGCCATTTCAGATTAAAGAATAGAACAATAATTGGCCACAAAAAATATCCACAAAAAATTCAAGAAGTTTCAAGATAATTTCATGGACTTGTAAGTATCACTAAAAAAACAAAAATTAATGCCCCTGAAGAAATGTATTTCTTTAAGAAAAACGCCAAACCTGGCAAAAAAAGTACTATTTAAACCATGCTTATTAATCTCAAGAGACATATCAGAACAAGCCAAAATCAGTAATGTCAGGTAAGGATTTAGAAAACCTGAGGTAGTGAATTTGACCGCAAATTATTGTAAAAATGGTACAGTACACAAAGAAAACTTCAGATTCAGATTTTTCCGGCAATACAATCCCAAGGGCACCTTTTGTAGCCTCACTTTGCATTTCAAAGCATTCAAACTACAAAAGAATGTCTTCAAGGTTATATAAAATGTTAGCAACAGTAACAAGCCATTTGGGGAACTTCACAGCAGGACTGAGAGCTCATGTGAAGCCAGAGAAACTTTATTCCACGTCCACTTTTCTAGATATTTGTGACCATAGCAAAACCAGACCATCAATCTAGTCACTCCAATTCTAAAGGGCGTCCTTCCTCTACTTCAATAGTCCTTATTAAACCCTTTTTCCAATTATATTGTCAAAATGACAGAAATAATACCAGCAAACATGGTTTGAAAGACATGAGGAGGAGGAAAGAGAAAAAAAAAAATGGGACATGTTGGTTTATTAAAGGGAATCTGTTGAGTCCAGATATAAGCAAAGGTGGTGAGCAGTGATAACTGGCAGTTTCTGGCACTTCCACCTTAATACAGGTTACAAGGTTGGCATGTGAAGAACTTTTGATTGATTGTCCGTATTTTACTCAAAGTGGAGAAATTGACTCATTAAATCAGCTCAAATAGTCAAAGGAAAAGAAAGAGGTGCCAAAGGAAGAAAAAGGTGCATGGATATATATATATATATATATATATATATATTTTTTTTTTTTTATTAGGGATGGGACGGTTTATGAAAACCGTCCGAACCGTTCGGTTCGACTGTCTCGGTTCGGTTCGCGTGTGTTGCGTTCGGTTCATGCACTGCTCCTTTTTCTCATAGGCGACGCGTTTACACTCCAGAGCAGAAGGTGGCGGTACTGCGACCAAAGCCAACCACCAGTAGTAAGCAAGAAGAAGAAGCGAAGCAGCGTAGCCGAATGTAGCAGAAAAAAATCAGGTGTTGTGGAGAATTGTGTCGGAATGGCGAGTGGGAAAGAACAGGAGTTGGAAGACGCGCCAGCAGCACTTTATAGGTCTGCTGTATGGGACCGCATAAAAGTGCAACAGTGTGCAAGCATTGTGCAACACGTTTTGTTTATGCTAACAGCAACATGACCAACATGTCATGCTAACCCCGAAATCCCACATACTCCGTCAGCGCTCCGCTCTGCCCCGCCCCGCTGCGCACCAGCAAAGCCTACAGCCTCCGCTGTGGCTCCCGTCTGCTCTGCTCTGAGTTCCTGGAAAACCTTTCATGCAAGGTTGAAGGTTTAATCATCTCGTGCATGCTCATCGTAGAGAGCATGCACAAGATGATTAAATTCAAAGCAGCAAAACATGCGGAAATTATCCAGGGTTTCCGCGGATCATTAAAAATAATTACAATCCATTAATTTTTTTGAATTTCTTTCATTAATTTTTATGGGATTTTGGTGTAACAATCAACATATACCGAACCGAACACCGTGACCACGAAACCCAGACATCCCATCCAGCTCTTTTGGGGGATGCCTAAGATCTTCCAGGGATGCAGAGAGACATAGTCCCTCACTGTGTCCTATGGACCCCTTGGCCCCCATCTGAGCCACCTTGGCCAACTCCTCCAAATGTGGAGAATCTGCCCTACTCTGAGCCTCTCCAGATGGCTGAACTCGCCCCCTTAAATAAAGGGAGTGATAAGCCACCCTATATAGGAAGCTTATTTCAGCCGCTTGTATCTAGGATCTTGTTCTTTTGGTCATTACCTAAATTTCATAACCATAGAGGGTAGAAATGTAGACTGACCGGTTAAAACGAGAGCCTCACAAATATATCTGTCGATCACCTGCTCCATTCTTCCCTCATTCACAAACAGAACCCAAGATATGTAAACTTTTCCACTTGAGGCAAGAACTCCTCTTTAACCTGTAGACGCCCTTTCTGAATTGAGAACCAAGGACTTGGAGGAGCTGCTCTTCATTCTGGCTGTTTTGATCCAAGTTGCAAACCACTCAAACCGCTTAGTGTGAACCTGCTTCACTCTGTGAAGAGCATAGGGCACTAGTGGCGACTTGCCACTCCTGGTGTTCTCTGGCAAACCACTCCAGCTCATGCTGTAGATCTTGGCTGGAAGGCGCCAGCTGAGTGACATTATCCGCTAAAATTAGCTATTTTAAAACCACAGAGGGGCAGTGATTAACATAAAAAGGGGAAAAGCAAAAAAAGAGAAGAAACAATTGATGTTCCACTTCCAAAATGACCAAGAGCGCAATATTGTTTATTTAAGAATTTATGATTATTTAAGAATAGTAGGTGTGTTTAAGGCAGCTGCAAAGAAATAAGGTGGAATTAAGTCTCAGTGAAGTCCAGATGGACCTTTTTCTTCTTTAAATAAGAGATATAAAAAACATTTTTTACAAAATAAAAGCTGAATTCATTGCATACAAGGGGTGGCCGTTTCAGACTTTATGTATGCTGTATGTGATGGATGTTTTTACCACAAGCTTAGCCAATAAACTCACCCCTGTATGCTTTTTATCAGTCACTGAATAAACCGGAACAAGACTGCATTTAACCACTCTGTTCCACTTGAACCTGCACTGACACCCTTTCATGTCAGTACAGGCACACTTGTAGTGGAGAACCTGTTATATCCTACCATTTGGAAGGAGCTGGCGTGTGCGGTCAGCAGCATTTACAAAAATTAAGTTGTGCTAATTAAACACTCTTGTCTTTTACTACTCACTCAAGTCCTCACTTTTTAAAAAATCAAATATTTTATTCAATTATGCAGAAAAATTGTACATTTTTTTAAGTCATATAGATTTTCTTCTCTTGATAAATCACATAAAAGTCGGCTGCAAATCACCTTACAGACCTAAATCAATATGACTTTCTTCTAGCAAGAATTACTTTGATTTGTGAAAGAGAGATGAAAAAAAAATGATGACGTCTTCAGCAAATAGGTAAAAATATGTAATTAAAAACGGCTGAGTAGCTTAATGAATTCAAAGAAGTTGTAAAGCTGGGAACGGGAAAAGGGATGGGGTCTGGGCGGATAAGTGACTGCAGTAACAACAATATTACTAACAATGAGTTACATTATTTTTTGGAATTAAATCATCACATTTCAAAGCAGAAAAAAGTAAAGATATTTAAAAATATGTTTTTTATATTTCCAGGGTGTTGACTGGTTTTGAAATAAATTCAGACTCCTTGATGTTGACACTGAGAAAAGGCTGGGTTGAGTGCGAGCTGAGAAAATCAAAGAGTGGTCTGGAGACCAAGAAGACCAGTTGCTTCCAAGGAAAACAAGTCAGACATAGAGCTAACTACAGGCTGCTCAGTTTCTAGCCTTTAGAAGTGACAAAGACCCCTGGATGTAGGCCTATTGAAGGCATCTGTTTGGAACATCTCCACTTAGTGTGTAAAGAAGAGTGTTAAGTGTGAACATAATGTGCTGCATTTACAGAGCAGCAATGGTACAGTGCAAAGTGCTGCGTGTAAATGGATTAACGAAAAAAAACACACGGTGAAGGTCTTTGCAGGATTGGGGATTAAAGTGGGATACATGAGTGGAGACAATTTATTATATAATGCATCAGCCAGTAAACTAGCCCTGTCCACTTAATATTAGAATTCAATCTGAACATGAAATAAAAACATATGAAGGTCATTATTTGAATACATTTTGACAAACTCAAAAAAACCTCAGCAGCCATGTCACATAAAATACCTGATAGAAGATGCTTCTCCCTGAACCAGCTGGAGATGGTTGCCATAGCAGCAGCACCATTGAGTTGACTGTGTGAATGCATCATCCTGACCCTGCAGGTAGCAGAGCCGGCGTCATCAGTTCCCTGGACCAATAGGAAGTAGACAGCGCTCTCACCTTTCACCTCTACATCAGGCACTACAGGACAAGATATATAGAGGGTCAAGTCAGAGAAAAAAATTTTTTGGATGTTTTCAGAGAAATTTCCTCTGCATGACATTCTTTCACTTTGAATTGTAAAAAAGGTCTGCTCAGTTTGGTTTTCTAACTCTTTTTGTCCAATTTTTCTGTAAAAATGTAAATGTACCCTAGGTGAAGGTGATGGTGATCATTTACTGCATTCTTTACTCTTACAGTTTCAAGACATGCTAGGCATTTTTGTTTGATTTTCCACAATAATTCAGTACATCACCCTGCAAGGCTATAAAGTGCCTCAATAATTTAGTTTAGCTGCTGCTGATTTCAGAATATGTCACAGCATATCCCAGGTGCTAAAAGTCATTTATTTTACAGCTAAAAAACCCAAAGTCATACCAAGAAAGGACTTTGGGGTTCGGGATAAACACTCCTTCCAGCGCTGCGAGCTTAATTGGCTGGCGGGAGGCTGGGCAATGGGAGTGATTGAACAGGACAGGCTGAACAAAGCTCCGACCTAAAACAAAGTAAAAAAAAAAACAAAAACAACCTAAGTCATTTGAATGGAAGGTAAAATGCATCCTTTTCACAAATGGATTTGAAAGCATTTTATGTATATAAATGTCTGGATATTAAAATAAATGGAGGAAAGAATCTTTTAAAGGGTTTGTACGTGTACATTACAAGCAGTGAGAAATACCTTTCCACGAAGAGCCCTCAGCTGGTCCAAGAGAAGCTTGGCTTTGAGCGACTTCCCAGACAGTCCTCTATTTGTTTGTTGTTAAGGATTGGCACAAAATTAGTTCAGCTTTAGTTACATTTTACCAGTGGACGGCAGTTTGATGAAAATTTGTTTTGTATATAAAATTACAATAAAAGTTGTCTAGGTCATAACAGCCATGTTATTGGTTATCAGGGGCACATGTTTTTTTGCCAAAAGAGATCATGTTGAAATGTCTGACTGTCTGGGCTCACTGGGAATGACGTGACTTAAAAAAAAAAAAAAAAAGATTTTTGTGTTTTGGTTGAATGGGTCCTTTTTGGAGTGTGTGTCTAATCTTAAGGTACTAATGAGAGTTCATAATGGAAGAAATGATTATAACTAATATGGAAGTAATTACTCAATTAAATGTGAGATTTCTCATAAAACACTGCAATACTCAACCTTAAAAAAAAACTGTTTTAAAAAGATGGAGCAAAGACACATAGCCAGGAGGAGTAACACAGAAAAGAAATGTAACTCATTTTTGAGCAATGTTATGCTTTGGAGGCTTTTTTCATACAATTTTCAAAAGTGCACATTTTTTGACCACTTCTACTATAACCTTTGCTGATATAAACACAATTTCCCCATTGTGGAACCATCAAGGGATTTTCTATTCTATTTCAAATATATACCATGAAAGCTCTACCATCTGTCATCTGTGTATAGTCCAAAGCAATTGAAATATTCCCAGAAATTACAATATGAAGTTTAACCCTTAAACAGGCTTAAATAAGTTAGAAAAAAATATTTAATGTTATTACTCGTCTCTTTTTACACATATTTCCACATTGATTATATATACTCTGCTCAAAAAAAATAATAGGGAACACTGAAATAACATCGTAGATCGGAATGAATGAAATATTCTCATTGAATACTTTGTTCTGTACAAAGTTGAAATTCATCAATGGAAATCAAATTTATTAACAAATGGAGGACTGGATTTGGAATCATTCACAGATTAAATTGGAAAAAAACACAACAGGTTGATCCTTCTTTGATGTAATGTCCTTAAACAGGTCAAAATGAGCCTCAGTATTGTGTGTGGCCTCCATGCTCCTCTACTACCTCCCTAAAATGCTTGGGCATGCTCCTGATGAGTTGGTGGATGGTCTTCTGTCTCCCAGACGTGGACTAAAGGCCAATTTATGCTAGCCTCTGCCAACATCTAATCTGTCTCTGTTTGCAAATACTGCACATTTACCAGATTTCTACCCCCAATCTGCCAACGTATCTAACGTGATACTGTACATCGCTGCTAAATATTACCACAAACATGGTTGGAACACATTTTCTTCATCATGATGTTAAGACAGTTGTCCTAATAAATTTTAAGAATTTATATTACCCTTTCGCTGAAAATAAATGATTAATATATTATTGCTCAGTCTCAAGGAAGCAGGTTTGCCATCACATGCAGCCATGACATTTGCTGATGAAATGATGCAAGGTGGCTTGAACCAAGTCATGTGATATACATGCTAATAATAGACAAGACTTTTGATCACTGACAACTGGATTTGAGAGAACCTTCTAAAATAGCCCGTACAGGATGTTAAAGAGAGTATATCTCCTGGTGCACGTTGCCCATTTAAGGGTGAACATAAGTTATATCATCTGTCTTGTTTTAGGAACTAGGCAGGAAATTAAAGTATTGAAGTATTTCAGTTCTAATGAGGAAAGAATTAAAGCTACAGTGTGTAATAATTACAGGGATATACAGTCAGAAATGTAATATATTATACATAACTATGTTATTTATCATCATCTACGAGCTCAGCCTCTTAACCTTAATATTTGCGTTGCCTTAGAATTCGTTATTTATAATTACATAGGAGCGGGTCTCGCAGCCATGGAGGCAGACATCTTTGCGCTACGGCAGCGCAGAGCCAACAAACTAGCAATTGCGAGATCGCCCATTACGCTCGAAAGTAACTACTGCAAGTTGAGAGAGATGAACTGAGACGGTACTGAACAATAGATGGCAGTATTAAAATTATCTATGTAAACAAACCTCATCACTTGAGAAGGTCCCGTAACACTCGCCGTACTGTTGGGGGGGAGAAGCGGTGGGGGGGAGATGTTCATGTTGCTGCGGTATGCAGTCTGGACGTTAGATGTCGCTGAAAATTACACACTGTAGCTTTAAAATAAATAAACAAGCTAACCTGTGCGATGACTGTGTAGGGAGATTACATGCCAATTATGCAGATATGCAGGAAGAAAAAAAATCAATAGGAAGGATACAACTCAAACTTTGCGTTGGACATCAGGAAGGTGGGCAGGTTTGAAAGGTCAACCAGCTGAACCATGTCTAGAACTGGAGCATAGTAATGGAAGACCTGCAAAGCCAAAATGGATATGGGATAAGTGGGAATAATATTTAGAAAATATATCTAAAAAAAAAAAAAAAAAATACAAAGAACAGAATAAGAGATGTATAAAACTATGAATTCCAGTAAGCAGAGCAGGGACATGTTACACTTAAACTTGGGGTAAATCTGAGCTTTCCAGAGTCGAGCATAAACAGTCGTTTTATAGCCTCTGACTTTTCACCATCTGCTTCCAAGAAAAAAATTGTGTCTTTAAACAGAAGATTGTCTGCCAAGTGACCAGCTGGTTAACTTGAGATCCCCCCCGTCTCCACTGTAATACTGTCACTGCTGTAATAACTGCTATAATATCAGACAAAAGTCCAAGTTTAGGACCTTGCTAAAGACCTGACAGACACATGCTTTTACCTCCTCATTCTAGTCTATGAGTGAGCTAAGACACATAAATCCAGCCAATATCTCTAAACCTCCTGTTCACACTGGTCTCTTTCACTGGCAGTGAACAGATGTGCTAAACCACTAAAGCCCTTTTTAGCAGCCAGAAATGAACCTGCTAAAGCCTCCTACCTCCCCATGAACCTCTAAAGGAGGGGGCTCCACAGGAGGCACAGTGGTGTGAATTAGTTTAACCACAAGTTTAAGTTGTGAGAACAGAAAAGGTGTAAAAGTTTATAAAGAAAAATCAACACAAATTCATCATAATGTCACTTAAATAATATTTCCTGGCCCAGAAAAAAAGTGAAATAGTATGTGAGAGTTTGTGTGCAGGTTATTTTAGAGTCATTTTCCCAGTAGTGCTTAGACAGGATTGTTTTTACGGTTCCTTCTTTTAATGCCAAAACAATCTTTGCCATCTGTTTTTCTGTACAGGAGACTGATGAGATCACAGACACATGCATTCTGCTTTATTCTCTATGGACGGGTAAAAAAAAAAAATACTAAAACCTAGACTCATCTAAACTGAGGCACATACCTTCTATCACACACTGAACAAGGAGCAAATACAATAAACACACAAACAAATTAATACCAACAGTCCTTTCGTAAATAAATAGTTGTATTAAAAGAAGTGATGCGCCCCATTTTAAATCTTCAGTTCACATATTTTTACTGCTCATCTAATGAATAAAACAGACCCATTGCTTCACTCCGCACTAATAAACAGCTAAACATGAGCCTGCAGATTCTATGAGAAAGCTCCTCTTCTCTCATTTTCATTGTTGGTACTTATTAATCCACATAAGATTAGACATTACTGCACTCTGCTAGGTTTATAAAGTATTTTTTTTAATAAAACACCATTTCGATTTAAAAAAAAAACAACAACTAACAAATGGAACTCTTTAAAAGTTAAAACTGTTCATAGACAACAGACATTAGGAATATAGCGGCAATGTGCTGCAACAATAATGGTACTGCTTAATGAGTTTGGCCAAATCTCAGCAGAAGCAGCTCCTCTCTGAGCTGGTAGCAAAATGAAATGTGGATAAGTGTCGGATTTTAATGAGAAGTAAAAACATTTCTATGCGTTTCTCAGACAGATTTACTCTTGATGTTTTGTATCAGTTTGAGCCAATACGACTTACAAAAGCTGCACGTTATTGTTCACATTAACAGTGGACATTGTGCAGTTATCTAAGGTGCAGGTACTTCAGTCATAAATTGTGTTTATAATGCTGTGACATATCACTCAAGAAGGAATGGAGGCATCCTTTGGATCCATATTTAGTTAGAAAAGTAACTAAAACTGCATATTTAGATCAAACAACTACTGTTGGATTTAATTAAGTAGAAAGAAAAGATGCTTTAGGAGATCCTACAGACGCTTGAATTCCTTATTTGAGTGTACAGGCAAATTACATATTTTATTGAAATGAACTGGAGCCAATAACTTCAAACTTTCAAAGCAGAGCAATCATAAGATTCACATGAGCACTTCAAAAAGGGATATAAAAATAAAGTATCTTTCAAAAGTATATTTTCTCTTAATTTGAGTTAATATTAAAATATTCTGCCGATGGTCCTCTAAAATACAATTATTATATGCACTGCACCAGAAATAAGATGATGATGAATAATATAATTTCAGTGACAGATTATTTTACTTACCAGCTAGGGCTGCAAAATTAATCGCATTTGAAATAAAATTGCAATGTATACAAATATTTAAGCAATTTTCAGATCGCAGAAGCACTCATTTAAGTAGCTAAATGAAATGTATAGAGGACAACCTGTTATTTCCGTGTGGGTCATCTAAATAAGTGGTCCTCCTAATTATCAATCATTACGTAAGGCCGTTCTACGTGCTCATCCTGTTTGCTATCTTTTTCTGCTCATGCACACTTTCAGGCATGAGCAGAAAAAGCTTTGGTTTCAGCCCAAATTTCTCACTGCAGTTTTTGCAAAATGGCTGAGGGTCATAAGAGAAAAAATGTCTACCAAGTTTACGAGAAGAAAAGAAAGGCTTCAGAAGAGGCAGATATATCCTGGAATGCTTTGCGGGGAGAGCTCTCCTCGCAAAGCATTATGGGATTTATTGTCACAGCGGCCCACTGTCGCCATAGGCTGCTGCTACCTGACAGCGGAGACTAATAACAGAGATGGTGCAGGCACTGCGCAGTGGACCAACGGGGAAGTGATCATCTGTCCGAATGGGAAATTGACTGAGTTCACTATATAGACCCCGCTCTACATAGTGATACAGAGATTCAGGGGATAGAGCAGACATGGGGCTCAGTAAGCTTGTATGAGCTATGAGAACATCAAACTTTTAGACAGAGCGTGCACGAGGAGAAATGGGCTCATGCATGCAAATTTTTTTTTTTTTTTTTTTAAGTTGAGACGGCGGGTCTTTTAAAAAATTCTTCACAATATCTTTCATTAAGAAGCTAAATTTCTTATTCCAGCCCTTTAGGTGCAGTAATGTGCTTAAAATAGGTTTGGAACTACACAGAAGAGAAGAGAAAGATCCAGCTAGTTCGCAGATTCATGCCTGCAAGTTGAATTTAGCACTTTTTCACACAAAGGTTATAGTTAAGTCCTGCAAAAATGGACTTTGGACAATCAAGCTTCCAAGGTAATGAAAAATCCTTTAGTAAAACATTTACATGACTGAGGTTAGTGAAAGGGAAAATCAAATAAAATCTCAATTTTAATTTTTGGCAAAATCTTTTAGGCTAATTACTAGCTGAAATCAAAGGTAAACACACTCATTTCAAGTTATTATTTAATATAGTCTTACTTTTATTTCACTTCAATTGTTACTGAAAGACAAATTTGACTTAATCACTTTCAGATGTCACAACAACTGAGCACTGACCAAAACAAATAACTCAATCTGAGAGAGTGAACAAAAGGTGATGGAAGAATAGTATGAATAAGACCACATGGACAAATGGTTTGAATGTATATAATAAAAATGTAATTTTATGGCTGAATGGCCATGAGGGAGAATAGGGGTGAGTCTTTCTTTTCTTTCCTTTTCTTCTTTTTCCTTGATAAAAGCGATTTGATTCAACTGCCTGAATGTTACAGGTCCCAGTGTGCGTTTAAAAGGACAACAGGAAAGTGACTGTTTTGACCTCATCTCCTTGTAGCCATCAGAAACCATTAGGAGAGAGAAGTGCAGAGACTCCATTCTACTAAACACCTGGGAGGTAGGATCAAGAATAAGTGGGGTCCTAGGAAGAGTCAGAATATCTGCCATCCCAATATGAAACCTTCCCTAAACTTCAGAGGAACATACAAAAACGCTAACAATAGCATTACAATATGTCCACAGGAACAAAAATGGAAGTTCAGGTCTTAATGCATGCTTGGTTAAATTAAATAAAATTAGGACAAAAGGAGAAAAAGACATAGTGTGAGAAAAATGTGACATTAATGCTTCTCTTCAGGGTTATCACATGTTAAAAAAAAGGTCAGCAATGCAGAAATTTGGTTTTGAGAGACTTACCTCAGAGTTTAGTTTGTGATCTGTGCTAGGAGCTGGGATGAGACCAGAGTCTGATAGCTGATTCCCAGGAGAGCGCAGGGAAAAGCCATCAAAGCGAAGTTCAGATACATACTGAGGCAAACACACAAGGGAAGAAAGAACATTTTAAATTACTAACAAGCTCCTATCATGCATAGCTCCAGTTAGAAATTAACTGCCATTCCACAAAGATTACATAAACACTATCCTATCCTTGTTAAATTCTTTTTATCAAGTGTGTTGTTGTTTTTTTTACTCTGTATTAGCTGGGAAGAAAAAGCAATGTTATGCAACTGCCACAATATGTTGGAGTTCAGTTGCGGGTTTACAAAAACCAGTACATACACAGATACAAACTGCAGCACAAGGCGCTGTATAATTGCTCTTTCTTTAAAAGCTTTCTGTAAAGACTTCTGCACATTCTCTAGCTATGCACCTTCAGCAAGTGGCAGCTGGAGCCCACTTACTTCTGTAACTCAGAAAAGGTCACTTTAGTGAAGGAGAAGCAGGATGCTTGCCTCAGCAGACTATCAGCTAAACCAACTAAAATGGAAAAAGGAAAAAAAAAAACACAGTCTCCTGCATGTTACTGAATAACCGGTACACAGGGATATGGATGACTCATCTATAGCAATTTAAACGCAGAAGTATGAACTCTGTTGATGATGTAACAATTCTGGTAATAACCAGTAATAACTAAGAATACTTAGCATCTACAGGTACAACAGGGTTTTTGCAAAACAACCAGAGTGAACAATAATGACTCAAAAGGTTTCCATCCAGCCTGCTCAGACACCAATCTCATAATATCTTATGGGTCAGGTAGTAAAGGACCCACCAACCTATACCTTGACTTCTCAAGCTTTTATGGCTGCAAATACTCATTATTTGTATTTATGTATGTATGTAACCTTTATTTTTACAGCTAGACCTCACTGAGATTAAAACTACTTTTCAAGACAGACCTTTGCAGCAGAGTCATAAATTGTGCACCAAGTGTATAATTACAGCCATATTTCAATATAATTACCTGAGCACTCAATTAATAAATTAGATACTTGACTTTTTTTTTTTGCCAAAATTTGTTTTTGTCAAACATTATAGGCTAATTGATTTGACAGAAAGCAATTTGAGTTCTCCCATCAAATCCAGGTACTTGAGTCTCAGAATTAAACCAATAAATGTTTAAAAAAGGTCCAGATGGATAAACTCTTCTGTGAATAACATTGCTTCATCTGTGATATATCGTGCAGATCAAATTTCTAACAAGTGGGGAACATTTTTCCGTTCCCAAACAAGAATGGTATTAAAAAAAACTTTGATGTAAATTTAACCAGAGACAACCACATTAAATAGATTGTTTTAAATTTTAACGTATAAGACAAAGCAATAAATGTTATAACTAAATACTGCAGAAAACTGAATACTACAGCATCTAAAACCTCAAGAAGAATGAGCATATCAAAATTGGGCATGTTAAGAGCTGGCTAGAGATTTGGTTTAATCTTCTTAAACATAAAAATCTTATTAAACAATGAAACTGCTGTTGTAGTGTAGACATATTTTTGAACACAACTATATTTAAATTGCGTTTTAAATCCTTTTTGAAGTGTTTTTTATATGCAGATAATGAGTTGTCCCTGAATGCACCATACCTGCAGACCTGATACAGTGTATTCATACATCGGCTGTGTCTCTGCAGCTATAAAATCCTCCTGAGAATTTGAGGTTAGTTGAATGCTGCAGCCCATTAAATTTGAACAGTTATGTTTACATTTTTTAAGGAAAGTAAATAAGTATAAAGCAAACTTTCTTTATCAACACCACTTTTGAATGTTTTATAGTCATAGCATTGGAAAGGGGAGGTTCAAGCCGTGCATAGTTTTTTTGAATCGGTTTCAGTAAAATATGTAATCCAAGACTTTAGCTTCTCCTATATTGAAATGAAAACTTTTCTACAGAAAATGTATTAAAATAAGTAGCAAAATGTTATCTCCAAATCCTGAAGACTCTCCCAAGAGACAGAAACTGCTTTTTAAATATATTTTCACACTTGCGCCTCGATGAAGCAGAACTGTCAATTCCCTGAGCTATGTTTGGAGTGATCCTTAGTGAACAAATCTGCCAGGCTGTGTTGGTCGAGGCCAGGCAGAAGCAGCTCTGCCAGCGTAGTGCTGGCAGCACTAAGATGTTTCCCATGACCTCTGGAGGACCTGCAGTGATTACTCCGGATTCATTCAGCAGCAGCAAAAAGACCACTGGCCTCCAGAGGGAGGAAAAAAAAAAAAAAAAAAAAGATGACGACCTGTAAAAATTTACCCCGTGGTCTGGTTGTACTAAATGATTAATTTGGTATTGAAAGGGCACATAAAAAAAAAATGAATTAGTCTTGGTTCATAGAAATCTTTTCTAATAAGGATAGAGAGTACATCTGTTCACAGAGCTATAAAGTGAGTTTTTTTTATACCTTATAATGATCTTATTTTAACACACCGAATTGTTAAAGATCAAAAAACATTTCAAAATCATCCAAAAATGACTGAACTATAGACTGCAGCCTGAAAATATTGTATTTATTCATAACAAAGCTGTCGCCACCAACCTGATCCCATGAAAATTGGTCGCTAAATCTAACAAAAAAATCATCAAGGGTTGGTGAAAAGTGACAGATTTCTTTGCAAAATGGTTATTCAGCTGGCTTAGTAAACTAGCCCCACCCGCCAGAGGCCAAAATCATTTTTGCCTGTGAGTGGTCTAGCCTCGATCGATGCCCCAGACCCTAGAACTTGCGGGCCAATCACAACGCAGAAATGTGTTTTGAATTTCTGGATGCAAAGCGGCTGGGGTTTTTCAGGGCGGGACAACAAAGCTGCACAATGCTGGAGAAAGCACAACAAGAAAGATGGCCACAACTATTGAACAGTTCTCGTTTGACTCAGCTTTGGAATCAGTTTTGGAAGGATTAGTCTTGGGGTTTTTGTTGAAATGTGAGCCGGAAGAGTCTCTACGCTCATTCCTTTTTAACAAGGACGTATTTGGGTTTTTTTCCGACAGGCTGTTTGTTTACACTCCCCCATCAGCTTTCTGTCGCGCTTACTACGTTACAGTCAGTTGCGCTCATTGGTCAGAGCGTTGGCCAATAGGCACAGGCATGGTTTGAAAGACAACGGGTTGTTCTCATCAACAATCTTCCAAAGTCTCATTCATCGGGGCCAGACTAAATTACAAATTTAATCTCACATTTAGTCTGGTTTATTAGGCTATTATTCAGCCACATTGGAAAGTTTTTCAAAGTCTTGCCACAGATTTTAGTAAACCTTAGTGAACCTTTTCCAAAGACTGCATTTGGAAATTTGTGAACTTGTTTGGGTCTGCAGTTCTCCAAGCTGGGTTCTGTTTTGACCTCCTGGGTGAATAGTCAATGTGTTTTTTGGAGTAATTTTGGTAGGAAAGTTTGCCTAGGTAAATAATGGTTCTCTCAGCGTGGGATGTAAATTCAAAAGCCGTTCAAAACTCTAATCGGCCAAATAGATGTCATTGATTTACTTCTCAGCTTGAAATTCACTTGATTCGTTGCCTTAACTTTCAAAATAATTGAGCTTACTTGATGTTGCTTGACAGGTTCTACTGAGGGATCCTTGATTATACAAGTTAGGTAATAATCAAGTTGTGGCTAATAAAACTGAACCAAAGCTAGTTAATGACAGTTAGTTCTTCACATAACAAAGGAAGCTATTTTTTCTATAATAGATTGGTGTTTTTTGATGCTTTTTACCATAATAAACCTAATAATCTTCTCTTGAAAACAACACGTGTTTCATGCTGTGTTTTGGTTTAACAAGAGCAACAATGTGTTGGTTGTTTTTAACTTTTTTTGAAGAGCAACAATATAAAAACAAATCTATTAGTGGCCAAATACATTCTTAGGACACAGTAGATTCTTTCTTTAGCTAAGTGAAGAAATATTCTACATTGCCTATTTTTATTTGTGAAAACATCCAATAGTTTGATACGGTCTCTTGATCTGTGTAGTTCTTTCCAAAAAAGCAAACAAAAAATTCCACTGGATTTGTTTAGCTTACAACAAAATATAATGTATTTTGTTTGACTTAAACCAGGGAGTTCTTTAGCTTCTCTGCAATAAAATTGTATGACAAAAACGTATAGACCATTACCATAACTCTTCCCTCTACTGTGGATTTATGCACATGGTTTTTAAAGCATCCTCTCCCTGTGTGTGACTAACTACAAACACAAAACTGCTGAGATATGCAAACATCATCTAAAGAAAACTTTTTGCTTCTTTATCATCCTTTTGGATACCTGTACCACCTTCTTTGTTGTAGCACTTTAGTTTAACACCAATTAAATAAGAAAAATGTGTTTTTAAAATCGCTTAATGTTGCCATCTTTCTTAGCTTTTCTTAAAACTATGAAAGGACACCAATTATGTTTTTTTAATGAGCTGTGTATGTTTTGCTTCCACATTTTAGTGCTTTTCCATTCAAGAGGAAGCAAAGGCATTCAATATTTATGCAATGATTCACAACAGCTTCTTTGTTCAGTAAAACCTGCACCTATATAACTAAAAGGATTATCAAGTATTAGTAGATAATGCTCATTAAAGGATTATGGGTAGTTTTGAATAAAAACATTATTTGCCTCTTTTCCTTCTAGCCTGTAACAAAATGAACAGTGGTTTAGGTTTTCTTACCAAGTCTGTTTCTTCTTTATATTTTTCACTTCACTCATCTTTAAATCTCCTTTCCAACAACACCTTTTTTCTTACTTTTTGATAAGTTATATTGTTAAAAACCCCATTCCTCACCTTCTTTTCTCTGATAAGCAGGCCTCCTCTCCACAGCTCCCTGTGATCGATGCAGCTGAACAGGTCAGCAGGTTCAATCAGACCAGCACTCAGAGAGGACGCCACCTTCTCCCACCTGGAATAGAGGAAACAAGGCATCCATATTGATTTCAGCTAGCTTTAATATTTCAAGGCCTGGTTTTTCTTCACCAATCACAAAAGTAATGGTTATTTTTCAAGGGTTGTGTTTTACTGAACTGAAACTTATACAAACACTGAACAGACTAATAATTAAGGTAACAGTTAGCTACACATGCTCTTTTTTACTCTTCTAACTCCCCCTAGTGGTAAAAGAAGTACAACTAATTAATTTAAATAATCTAGGTTTATTGTGATCTAACATTTGTGTACACATATATTCGCTTATTATGTCACTGCTTTGTTTATATATTTTGGGTTTTTTTCTGTCTTGAGTTATGTGATGTTTTGTGCAATTTTTTGCCTCCTCACCCACTGTTGTTCTGTGTAACAATATTGATCTTTGCAGCATGCCAGCAGGCCATGTGTTTTAGGGCTCCCAGCAAAGGCAGTAGATCTTTAACTGAAGGGGACTTCTCAGCTGAGGCCAGCAGCAGAACATCCAGCAAGGCTTTACCTAAGAAAGAGGAAAAAGACCTGTCAAATAGAGGTACTTTCTTCTTTAAAATGCTATTCTTATTATTACACTTTTTCAAGTAAAAATACAGTTAGCGCAGTTTCAATTTTGAAACTACTGTCTTTTTTACAGCCGGACCTATTCAAAGCAAAATTAGAAACATTAAAATAAAAAAGAAAACTACAATGGGAAAACAGTTCTAGAGGCTGGGAGCTGGTATTTCTGTAGAACTTTGTTTATATTTTATCTCCTTGTTGTTGAGACATCTCAACAACAAGGAGCGTCTAAAAGGTTCTAGGGTCATTACTCGTGACATTCCCCTAGGGTTTATCTTAGGGCCAATCCTATTCAATATTTATATGTTCCTCCTAAACACGATCACAATAAAAAAAATAACAGAAGTTACCATTGCTATGATGATGACACACATTGTGAAGTCATTATGAACCCATTCAAGTTCTTGGTAAATGCGTAAAGACAAAGCATGGCTGTGCAAAAGCTTAGTCAAATCAAAACTGAATTAATAATTCTTAAACTAAAAGGAAGATTGTTCAAAAGTTACCACACAGCTCTGAGCTTCTTTTGTTTCTACTAAAGCCTGCCTATGGAGAAATCTGTTTTTAATCACTATATGTGAGCTACTTTGACTCATACCTCATGACCAAAGAGGAACGGCAGAACATAGGCTGACCAGAAAACAGAGCTTAAATTTTTGGCTCCATTTATCTACAATACTGCAGAAGAGGCAAGAATTCCAGATCTCAAACCATCAGATCAACTTTTCACTAAGCTACAAACCACCAAGTCAAACTGTTTCAGCCTTATTCCTTTAACACAGCTCGAGCCAAGGTTTAGATTATTCATGTTTGGCGACCTTTATCATGTGGTAAGTATCTTCTTAGGAGCAAAATTTTGAGAAAAAAAAACATCAAAAACATTAAGAGGAGCCCTATAAAATAATTTCATAGAGAGACACAAACAAATAAGTAACAGACTTGACTAATTCATGCATGCAGATCTTTTGCTACACAAAATATATACATGAAAGGAATTATTGTTAACAAAAAGTAAAGAAACACTTTAATAAAAGTTACCATAAATGATTGTAAAGAAGAAGAAGCAGCATTGTTTTGGGATTTTTTTTTAGGGTTACCTGGTGGAGGCAGCTTGTCTGTCAGCTGGTGAAGTCCATCCACAGCCTCTTCCAACAGCCTGATGAAAAATTTCCTGGTAAATTACTGAATTTCTATTTTTATAAATATAGACAAACTCAAGGTTATTTTGTCTACTTTAAGAGATGTAAACCTTCATGAGAAAACAAAAACATGTGCTTATGTTCTGAAAAAATAAGATTTACAAATACAAAATATAGGTTGAGTCCATACTCTCCCATAGTTGGCAGATCATCTCTGTTGTCTGCTGCCTCCTGGTTATCAAGAGAGGTCAGACATTGTTCAAGTGTAGTAAGGCTCTGCTCCTCGGTGTCACCTTTCTGCTGGTTTGCTCCTAACTCTTCCCAATCAGAGCTGCAAAACTGCAATACAAGTGACAGAGATTTAAGGATGAAACTCATATTTCTAAGCTTGAATCAGAAATCTAAAATCAATGTGTCTGTGAATTTTGTACATGAGTAGAATGTATTTATTTAGAATTGTAGAAATAACTTTCCATGAAGAAATGTTTTGAACGTCTAATTTTCTTACTTGTGCTGCCTTTCGGCACGCCTGAGCTGCAAAGTACCACCTTGGGGTTGTTGGGCTTCCACCAAGGGAACAAGCTGGGGAAACAAGAGAGACTGCCTTAAAAACAACATATGCATAATTAAAGGATGTTCACTGTTATATATCATTTACCTGGAAACTCAGAGTTCAATGTTACTGAATGCTGGGCTGAGATCTCTAAGAGTCTTTTATAAATATCATTTACTGGCTCCAGACCTAGAAACACAACAACAACAACAAAAAACCGGTCAAGCTTCTTTAATTACTGATTTACTTTTCAGCAAAATACAGAGCATTTCTTCCTTTGTGAGCAGTGAGTTGTAAAACCAGTGCTGACTTAACTGTATAGTTTTTACTTAACTTGAAACAAGTGTTCTCTGATGTTTAGATGCAGTCAAAAGCAGCATTCTGCAGCTTGTCAAGATATTTTTTTTAAACTCAAGCTGAATAGCATATTTCTTTACAACGCTACGCCTAAAAGCTTTTAAAGACCAACATGTTAAATAACTTGTGTTATATTGTGGGAGGTTTACTATAAATCTCACACATCCATATATCTTTATCCTACACTTCTATCAATACATACTGTACTAAACAATTTCTATCAAAAGGCATGCTGCAGTTTGTAGTAAAAGAACTGTTTTATTGCAATTCACCATTTATTTAGAAATTTGGCTAGCTTAACACGGCTCGACCAATGACTTTTTCGACGTAAATATAGTCTATTAAAAACTAGAACTTACATTTATGATAGTCCGTACAGTGCTCTTCGCTTTGACAAAGGAATATGACCAAAACATAGCGGTCCATTTTTTTACCATATAAAAAACATTTAAAACTATAGCTTCTTTGCTGTGTTAGCAAACTTTCCCGCAACGTTAAATTTCCCACCAGTTCTTCCTCTTCCTCAGTTAGCTGTGACGTCAAAGGAAAATTGCTCGCCAGCGCCCCCTAACGGCCCAAGTCTTGTTACAATATGACTACTGCTTTCGGTCAGTCAGGTTTAAATAAATGTACTAAATCCTGGAAAAATAACTAATCTACAGATCATTTTGAATGATTTAAAGTGAGAATATTGCGAACATAAAGGAAATTTGGCTTCAAACTGTTTTGGAGAGCCCAGTTAATTTTAGTGCCTTACCTGTAACCCACTTTTTTTGTTAAATGTAGGCCAATCTGTGAATTTAAGCAACAAATTCACTGTTTTCTTGTGGGGGGAAAAAACTGTGTAAAGTAGAAAGCTCTGGACATGCACAAGTCTGTTTTATCCTTAACCCTTTATAGGGCACTCAGTGAAATACTTTTGAAAATCAAAATTTCAAGCCAATTATGTTATTGGACTCCAGGACTAGACCTTATTACCTTTGTAACATTAAAAAATATATAAATATTTTGATGGCAAAAATGAATGTCAATGTAATATCAAGAAACGCCAACTTGCCGGAATATATTAGGAAAAATAACAAAAGTGCTTCTGCAAGAAATTCATGAAAAACACTCAGAGAGTGAAAGAAACACATTTTTTTGGTCCAACATAACTTTAGAGGCATTAATGCTGATACTGGCACTTACTTTCTTTAGTTTATAAATCTAAATATAATTGTTAACTAGGCTTATTAACTTTTTAACTTAACGTTTTAACTTTTCAGTTAGCTTTTTACGTTTTTTTCCAACTTCATTTACAGTAGGTAATGTATCATTCAAGGGTTCATCTAATTGGTCAATTCCCAAAATAAGATGTACAGCCATGTAGCAGCATCTTTGCTGAATGGCTGGATATAGATCTTGTGTTTCTAGACCTCACTGAGGGAGGGGGAGGGACTCCATTTTTAAGGGGGATGCAAGTGATCAAAAACGGCAACTTTCCCTATGAGGGGTTAAGTACATTTTGTAAGGTGAATAAGGCCTCAACCCCATCATGAAATTTGACAGATTGAGTGTCAAATCTTTGTGCCACTCTGTGTTGCGGTCTTCCATGGGTCATCAAAGGTAAACCAGCTCCCCTTATTCTTTTATTATCTTTGAAATCATAGCTGCATAAACACTTTTTTTGCTACACAAAAAAGCACAAAAGTAACCAAATCAACAGACACTAATTTTGTTTGGTTTGTTAAATTTGGGGCAGGAGGTTGATGGAAATTTGATGACCCCTGGAAAACTTAGTTTATGAATCTAAAATGATGGTGATACAGACAAAAAAAATTTGCTACACAAAGTGGCACAAAAACAATTTTTAGATGCAAGATGGTTTATAAATCTGTTTAAATGAATACATGCAACCACACTTCCAATGGGAATTTTGCAGCAAAGAGGCAGGTTTTGTATTTTAGTTCAAAATGCACAAACAACCCCCGCGAAGATTCTAAGACAAGAGATTGTGCTTATCCACAGACTAAACTAAATCCTGATCAGTCATAGCCTTAATGGAAATTCAGCAATAAAGAAGTCCCGTCTCAACCTCTGGAGAAATGTCTTGCTGTCTGATGAAGCCAGAATAGAAGAGTTTGGTCCCAACATGTGGAGGAAAAGGAGCAAAGCATAAAGAAAAAAATAAACACAAAGAGGCAACAGGTCCAATAGGAACCCCCTCACATCCCTGTCTCCAACAAAAGCTCATTCTGGGGGATCATAAAAGGTGTTTCTGGTCTCAGGTCTTCCTAAAGGTTTCCTCCCATTGGGATGTAATTAGAAAAACTACAAAGGGGGACATCCACAGAGCATCCTGATCAGGTCCCCAAAACCCAATCTGAGACACATTACACAGAAACAGAATTATCTTAAGCAAAACTGAAATCCCTGCTTGATGACATACAATTCTTGACAAATGAAACCATACTTGTGAAGGAAAATTGTATTACTTTATTTTGTACAACAAAAAAACCAAAGCTGCAATACTTTCTTTTTCTGAAGTAAAATGGGACTGATAAAAATCAGTCTTGATCAGTAAAAGCATCCATTTAATACATTTCTTTATTTTTTCGTAAAGCAAAAATGTTGCTGATATTTGAAGACTCCTAGATGATCTCCACAGTTTGCTCCTGGATGTATACGATGTAGTGGTGTGTGTTTTCTCCCTGAGTGAGGACGGTCAGAGCATCCAGGCCATGTCCATCCTCCACCACCATCACCTGGTTGCCATCAAGACCCTCGTCTGCATCCACAACCATCAGCTGGTTGCTGCAGTCACCCACTTCCTGTTCCTCAGCTACCTGCAACTTTACCCACAGCTTTAGGTCAGTACAGGCTTAAAAAAACACCCAATTCCAGACAGTGTAGTGACCATGTTTACCTGCTGGACTACAGCCACGGTGCCTGGAGCCATTGCTACCATTGAGGCTACAGCATTGTGAGTCTCTGAGCTCAGTTCAGCAATCTGCTGGACATTACCTGAAAAGAAGAGACATATGAGCTCTGTCATATTTACACAATAACATGCTACTTTGCTGAAAGCATTTGTATCCTTATTTTAAAAAAAACAACCAAAAGCTTGCATGTTTCCATCTTTTGACTGGATGGGATCGATACAAATAAGTGTTTTTTTTGTTTTTATTTTTGCTAAATAACCTGATTACTGTGAGGTTGGAACAAAAGGTACACTGGGTCATTTTAACTGACAAATATCCTTTGTTATGAACTATTTTTTTGGAGGTCTGGTCATTGTTAAGTGGCACTGTCCTTCTGAAAAATAAACTCACATCCCAGTCAAGAATCTTTTTTTGAAGCCTGTAAAATCTTCTCTTCCAAGACAGAACAGATTCCATGTCCTGGTTGAATAAACATATCAGCACAGCATGCTGTTGGAGTTTTTGCCAGGTGGATACTATCGCTTTTTAACAACACAACGCATGCAGAGCAAAAGAAGTTACATTTTGGTCTAATCTGACCTTTAAGTATTATGGCAAACCACTGTAGGAAGAATCAGATTTGAGCAACAATATATGTGGAGAACGAAAGTTTGGCACAAGAAAGCAGGAGTTTAGCTAATTCAGCCACTTATTGCAATTTTTTTTATCACGGTTACCATCGTCCTCCAGGACTTCTAAAGATGCTTCAGTGAGATGTTCTTCATTCTCTACAGAGACCAACTGAGTCTCTGTTTCCTCAGTCACCTGCACAGGCACACAAATATTAGAAAGAGTGAAAAAAAATAGATAAGGAAAACACATTATTATACAGTCATATTGCAGGAAAGAAAGGAACAAAGGAAGGATGCATGCATGGATGGATGGAAAATTATGCAGAGAAAACATTTGTTAAAACTCATTTCAATAATTTTCCAGGCTACATAGAAACCCTGTTTTTTTGTTGTTTTTTTTTGTTTCATCTGTGATATTTTTTACCTCCCAGTTTCCTTCTACCACTTTCAGATTGTGTTTGGTCTTCAGGTGACGGGTTAACTCCCATTTCGTTCCATAAACAAACTCACACTCAGGGCACTTCATCCCACCTGCAACCAGGGATAAAAGAAATAAATCAAGTTAGACTGGCTGTACTTTGAAGCACACATTTTACACATCCAAAGTGTTCTATGTTCACCCTTTTTTTTCCTTCTTTTAAAACAATGATATGCTGCTAAATGTGAGCTTGATTTCTGAGAAAAGGACAGATATGCTGACAGAGTTTGGAGGACGGCACCTTGCTGTTTCAGGGTTTCAGGTGTTGGCAGTCCAGGTCCAGCCTTCTCATAGGTTTCCTCTGGATGCTTGATGTTGTAGTGTCGCTTCAGAGCCCCGGCGATGTTACACGAGTACTGGCAGTGAGCGCAACGATACGGCTACAAACACACACCAAGAGGAAGTTAATTAAGAGAAACAAAATGCAATTTAAGCCTAAAATTCAGGGGGCTTATTCAACGGGGTTTTATCTTAAATGAACTGTTATAAGTCTCAGATGTTTCCAGTTACAGGATGAAACCAAATCTGACAGATTAGTCAGTTTTAGGAATTGTACCATTTAAAATAATTTTAGAATATGTTCAAATAAGCATTGATCTTTTTTTCTTTTTACAAAATTAGATGTTATGCAGGAAAATAAAAAATGTTAGAATCAGAAACTCTGGCTGTTTGTGGATAGGTGTGCTTCCTACCTTAAACTTAGCATGCTGCTCCATGTGTCGCAGCAAGGAAGGCTTATAGACCGACGTAAATGGACACTCTGAACATCGAAACCTCCTCCCTGTACAGACACACAATGTCCCCCCCTCTAGATTATCACAGCTTTTTTTACGGTCTTACGCTCCCCCATGTCAACAAACCCTCAGCCATTCACAACCTACCCTCATCTGTGTGGCTCAGTCTGTGGCTTTTCAACGTCAGTTTGGATTTGAACTTTTTACCACACAGATCACAGAGATGATGCTTTTCACTGTTGTGCCGGTTCATGTGGGTCTTCAGGTTACTGCGACTGCAGCTGGAATAGTTGCACACGCTGCAGGTGTACGGCTTTAGACCTGAACCAGATCAACACACATAAAGAGGATCTAGAATCAAACACATGAGCAGTATTTTCCTCATTGGCAGAACCATTAAAGCTGATAAAAAAAAAGGCTTTCTAAGTTTTTCTCCATTATAGATATAAAGTCAGTACATGTTTGTGATTACAGGCCTTGCAGGAGTATTCATAAGGATATTAGTGATAAACCAGCAATACATAGTGGATAATTACAAAGTAAAAAGAAAGTAGACATGGGTTTTAAATTTGCTTACAAATAAAAAAATCTTAAAAAAGTGGTATCCATCCTGCTTTACTGTAAAAAAAACAGATTTAAATTCATATAGGAACTTCAGGTTGTCATATAAAGTCCCAATAACACATTAACTTATGTAGTTGCAACATAGAAATGTAAGAAAATGGTCCAAAATTCCTGTATTGTAAGTACTGTATTGAAGGGACTGTGACCCTAAAGGGCTAAACATATAAAGAGATATACAAAACAGAAGAGCTTGTTTAATACGTGTAGCCATCGATATAGATGAATGTAAAAAAAAAACATCACTGAGCAGCAAAAATATGCGAAAGTTGGGAGATGTTAGAAACGCCATCGTCCTCTGAGACCTTCACTGACACCTGTGCTGGCTATCTGTGTGCAATCTTCAGCCGCATCTCAACCTGAGAGCAGCTGGAACTTCAAGGTAAACAGCTCTTCAAGGTAAAAAAGGGAGGAAAACATGTGGTAAAGATTAACGAGCAAAACGAACAGCTGCTCAAGCTGAGATACAGGCTCATGGCGAGGCACAGGAGGGCGAAAAAAACATGGTGCAATATGCCAAAAAAGGCCAAGAAAAAGCTACATAGACTCTTAAATCACATCTGGAGTATTTTTAACTTCATGCTCCTTCCCTTTGGAGGACAAGCAGACAATGATCACAGACAGATGGAAACTCAGCTCACAAAGTGATGACATACAAGCCATGCAGAATAACTGCAATGTGTTTTATTTGCGTCGCCAGCACACCTTGATGGGCCCAGATGTGCTGCTGAAAGTCACTGCTGTTCTTCAGGAAGTAGGAGTCACAGTAAGGGCACTTCTCTGCACGCTGCACCATCACTCCATGTCCTCCAGCAGGTACTTTATCTGTCAAATGAGAAACATCTACTGGTCAACACACACTAAGAAACAAGGCAAATGATAAGACTCCAAATTGTTGGATATTGTGTTTCTTGTTATTTTTTTTCTCCTGGGGATATATTTCTTTCTTTCACCTGGGTGGGATGATTTAAGGTGGTGCTTTAATCTGTGCTGCGGGTAGCTGCGCTGACATATGGGACAAACGGCACGCCTCTCCTGTAAATAACAACCATAACAGGGCATCAAGAAACAATTCAGAGAACATTGCCAAACTTTCCACACCTTTTGAACTCTATAAAAATGTTTAATGCAAACAACATGAAGATTTATTGTGTTTTCTTATACCGGTAAATAAAACTTTGTGCGTTTTTATATAGAGACATTTAGTGATTTCCCACATTGACAATAGTTCAGCTCAGGCAGTTTGTATAAGGAGCATGCAAACTAAGTAAACTTAGTACTTAGCAAACTTAGTACTTTACACAGATTCTCAGTGAGATTTACATCTGAGCTGTGACTGGCCAATTCTAATTAGATGGAAATTATTTAGGCTAAATCTTTATAAACAAGATCCCCATCCTGCAAGAAGGCGAGTCTCCATCCCAGTGCAAAGGGTTCCACTGCTTCCTTACACTTTTGCATTGGGCTCCATTTATCCTCCTATTAGCTGTGATCAGGTGCTCCAAAGCATGACGCTGCCACTACCCTTTTTTACAGCAGTAAAAGGCTGTTTAGAGCGATGTGGAGAGAAAGCTTCTTCCTTTCATAGCGACTAGTAGCCTAAAACATCAACATCTACAAACATTGTTCTGCGGTCAGATACTTTTTAAATGTGAGAATCTCAAAAAACAGAACTCAGATTCTACTTGGGGTTTTCATATAGTCTATAAGAAATTGGTGCGATACAGCAGATGTCCTACCTGATCATGCTGAGTCCTTATATGTGCTTGGAGCTTGTATTTGTCCGGTGTGGAGTATTTACAGCCAGGAGTGGAACAAGGCAGCAGCAGACCGCTGTGCTTCTGGATCTGATGCCGCTTCAGCGAGCTCTTGGTGATGGAAGAGTAGCTGCACTTGGTGCAGTAATGCAAGTGCTCCTTAGTGTGTGTGCGGACATGGACGTTGTAGTGGACTTTGTACCAGAAAAGTTTACCTTAAAGGAGAACAAACGGGATTAAAAGCAGAAAGCAGCACAATCCATAAGCAAGGGAATAGAAGAAAAAGTGAACACAAATAACCACTATGGTCTCACCACAATATTGACATTCCAGGTTTCCGTACATTTTCCTGAGCTCCTGATAGGTCTCCATATCGAGGCGCGTTTTCTGAAGAGATGAAACCACCTCTTGGAAAGCACTCTGATGGGGGAAAAAAAAAAAACACAGTTATAGAGGAAGTAAAGAGAGAAATGTCAAAACTAGAATGAACAGGGTGACAAATTTAACCCTAATTTAATCATGGAGGGCATTTCTAATGATTTTGCTGGTTCCTTTTGAATAAATAATCAAATCCTTAGTATGCTTCTACTTAAAGCCTCCTAAAAAAGTTTCACAATGTGTTCCAGGGCATTTTACATTAAGTGTCACATTTTAGATCATTTCTTCACTTGTTCAATCACTCTTACTCTATCTGGAAACATCATCTAGCTTTTGTATAACACATCTCAGTTTCTTTATAGCTAAATTTTCTTTTCATGTAAAATGCTTCAGCTGCATACCGACGCTCTTTTTTTAATACAAAAGCATTCAAACAGAGTTTTATTAGTGTTGGGGTTAACTGATTCCACTGTAGTTCTGAATGTACCTTCTCTGTGGGTGAATTTTGGCTTTTTTCCATCAGGATATTTGCAGATGAATGAATTTCAACTGTGACACCAGATACGTTGGTAATTCCTGATGCTGAAGATGAAGCTGTGCTGCTGGCTGCAGATCTGTTCACAGAGTCTCTGTGTGTATTTTCTTTACTCTCGTCTTTTAGAGGTGAGGTGTGGACGACCTCTGGTGATAAAGGCGAGTGCGTTATCTCTACTCCAGCTGTGTTCTCAGCTGCTGCTTCATCACATCTCTCCTGGGAATCTTTCTGAGCTTCTATGTTTAATCTTTCTTCTTCTCCTCCTTTCTCCTCTTCCGTCATCTTCACTGATTTGGTTTGTTCTTCCTCTTCTTCTTCCAGTTGCTTCTCATCTTCAATCGGAGTCTTCTCGTCTCCCTCGAGGCCTCCTACATTTGTCCTGTCGCCGACGGCCTCTTTAAGTGTGGCTTCCCCCTCTCTTTTCTCACCCCCCTCACTTCCTCCAACTTCTTTCGGGGGAATCAGACAGTAGCTGATGTTGATACAGTCAATGAAGCTCTGCTCCATATCCAGCTCAGAGTGACTCTCCTCCAGGTGAGCCCTCAGTCTCTGTGAGCTGACCAGTTTTTTGTTGCACCTGCTGCAGATGTAGAGGAAGAGGTGCTTCCTAACGTGGGCGGCCAGGGCAACCATCTTGGTAGCTTTGTGGTCACAGAGCTGGCAGGCGAAAGGCGGTTGAGGCCCGTGGATCAGCAGGTGGCGCTCACATTCCTGCTGGTTCTTGAAGCGCCGGTTACATGTAGGGCAGTGGTAGAGGAGCTGCCTTAGGCCCTGCCGAGTCTTTAACCTGCAGAGTACCCATAGAAAACTGGTAAAGCAGGAGATTTAAAAAATTGCTCTATTTCTCCCTAAATATGATGCTTTGATTTGTTGAAATAAATGTAAACTGGAACATAATGGAAAAGTCAGAAACTATTTAAGGAGCTAGAAGTCATTGAATAATTTTTGAATGCAGGCAAGGGAAACCAATCAGTGTAAGGCTAAAAGAGAAAACCTGGTCCTTGAACTGCTGCCTTGAATGGATATTAGAAATAAATTGGAAGATAACTAAATTATAATAAATAAAATTATAAGAAACTCCATCATTGATCAACTACATCATTGATTTCCATTCAACCATCTATACCTGCAGGGTCACAAAATAAATATATATGTCAATCAACATGGGCTTTAAAAGCCTACATTGAAAAGCTCCTTTTTTCTAAATGGACTGAAGTTACATAAAATATAGATAAGGGGTTTGGGCTTAAGAATCTGTACCCGCTGCAGACGTTTAATGGAAAGCAGACACCCTTTCACAGACTGACAATAATATGCAAACAGACTCAAATCTACCCAATTTATCCCCCAAATAATTTGATCAAAAAGATTCATTTCAGACCTCTGACTGGATATTTGACCATTTTCCTTAAGTCACAGAGCTCAATTTGCTGGTTCTTTGGCACAAAACTGAGTTTTAAGATTAAACTATTCATTTCCAAAACTGTCTTTGATGCATTTTGGTTCACTTGACTCTTGGAAAAACCTACTGTGATAAAGTTTTATCAATTAACCAAAACTGCCACTTCAGAGGAATCAAAATCTAGTGTGGTTGTCCAGAAACCAAACCAGAGTTAAGCTATAAAATGCAAACTGCAGGAATCCCAAAGTGAAGCAAGTCTTAAATTGGACTGAGATGCTAACCATAAAGGAACCTCCTCAGTCCTACTGACACCTACATCTTTAGTTGGCCAAACAATGAACCTAAAGATCTAAAGCGTCTCCTAAATCTAACAAACTTAACTGAAACAACTGTTGAGGTGCAAGGATTCGATGCAATTCAATCAGTTAGAGACATTAACCCAAAAACAGACCCAACCTGAGGGTCTGTTTTATACTAGCAGAGATAAAAGACCAATGAAGAACATGGAGGGAATAATGAAGGAGGACGACCTCCCGATTTTAGGTCAGGGAAACTTTAAAGCAATCCAGAATTTCCAGTGTGATGAAAAAACTTCCCGAATGGTTATGTTAAAAAATGGCTAACAGGTTTCTACTTCATGCAAAGATGGAGCGTCAAATATTCACTAAATATGTAGAAAGAGAAATTCCAGGGCTTGTTGAATGCTACAGGGAGATTGTAAGTTTTTCTGCAGCTTATTAGGCAACATTTATCCACACATGAATGTCTGTGCATGGACATCTGTGCATCTACCAAACTCTGATTCCAAAATATTAAAGTCTAACTTTGTGTTATCATTTGATCCTGAGAAATAACAGCCTGATAACACTTATAAATAAATACAAAACTGTCCCCATTTACAAAAAAAAAAAAAAAAAAAACATTTAATTTTCCTTCGGAATTAGTGAGGTATTTTAAATGTTTTTATTTTTTTTTTAATGATCGGTTAAAGTGGGTAACTTATCAGCCTCCCTTAAGGACCAAACCTTAGCTGCTGGTAGGTCTGGAGAACAGCAGCATCCTTCAGGTTGTGCCTTTTTTCCATGTGTTTAAGCAAGTTCTTCACGTCGGAGTACTTTTTCTCACAGAAGCTACAGTGCTGCTTCATCTTCAGGTGGACTCGCTCTATGTGAACCTGCATCAGCAAGAACAGAGAAAGATTAGCAATCATCTCACACTCTACCATAACTTAATCAAAAACAGACTTAGATGGCATAACCAAATGAATATAACATTAAAAAGTCAAATTACAAACAGGTGTATCTTACAAGTTACATTACATTTCTCTCCATCTCACAAGCATCATAATATACCACCTTGAGGTGTCCTGGGCTGAGGCAGCTGAAGTCGCAGTGCTCACAACTGAACTTCTCCCCAGTGTGTTTCCTTAGGTGAACGTTTAGGTTGGCTTTAAACAAGCAAAAAATAAAAATAAAAATCTGAAGAAATAACACCTTTTCTTCCTTCTCAGAAACCAAAGTGCTCCCGTTTCTTCCACTAACTAGTGAATTACCTTTGATGGCGGAGGCGTAGTCGCAGTGCGGGCAGTGGAAGGGTTTCTCCCTGGTGTGTGTTCTGAGATGGGCGACCAATGAGTGTCTGAACTTAAAGATCTTATTGCAAAACTCGCAGGCAAAGATCTTCAGCTTGCTCTGGGGTAAACTGAAACAAAGACAGCGGCTATATTTGTCAAGCACATTGATGTTGACGGGAACAGTTATCTAACTTTAGAACTGCTTTATGTAACAACAGTTACATTTTTAACAGGCAAAATAATGTGTGAAAAAAAAGGCAAACTGTAGTTTTCTCCTCATTTAACAATCTGAACTTCAAAATAAAATGAGCAAAATGGATTTGAATGGATAATGAATTATATCTTACTTTGCAGCTTCTTGTTTGATGGAATATTCCTGGAATCCTCTGGTGGATGATGCTGTTTTTGGTGAATTTACATCAGATCTATATGGAGAAGAAAACATCAAATCAGTAGAATTTGATGTTTTTGATGTTTAAAAAAAAAAGAAAAAAAAAAAAAGAAGACACCACACAATCGAAAGCAGCTTGATTTTATTTTTTTTTTTTACATTTCTGTAGGGCTACAACAATAAATCGGATTAGTTAATTATTTAAACAATCATCAACTAATTTAGTAATCAATTAATAGTTAGGTGGAGCATACAGCCTCTAAAACATGCCATTTACTATCAAAGCAACTCACATAGAACAGTAACTAAACAAAAATTGCACAAAAAAAAGAAAAGTTTTAAAGATTTTGCATTCAAGATAGAAAAAAAAAATATCTGTCAAAATCCTCTATCCAGAACTCCCTAAGTGTATTACCTAATTTACTGGTTTCCATTCTGTGTGAAGGGTCCTTAAAGGGACATTTTGTTATCCAATTATAAATCGATTAATAAAAACAAATTACTAACAGATTAATCAATTAACAGCATAATTATTATAACTTCCTTAAACATGTGCTTTTTTTCCCAGTTTTTTATAATCCAAAGTTATGATTTGCTCCTGAAATAAGAGCGGAGAGACTTTTTCTGCTTACCTCAACTCGTCTTTAGTTGTGGGGATATTTTCACAGGCTGTAACTTCTCTTGAGAGGCCCTGATTAGACAAAGCATTCTGTTTATACCTGAATCAATCATATAGTATTGATCACAGATGTCAGAGCCATCCACACTACATATACTTTTAATTAAAAAAGCACAAAAAAAAAAAAAAGAATACAACTTAATTAAAGAAAGGTTTTATGTTTTTATACTTTTTGTTTTGGAGACTGAAATAAAAAAAATACTACTATAAGTGAGCAGATGTAACCATTTGACATCTAAATGTTTCTAGGCCAAAGTAAGTACATGTAATGCTTTTTGCATAAACGGTACCCTGGTTAATCCCCTCCCTTTGCTCTTCATGATATATTTAGAACTTTAGATGATCAAACACAGAGCAGATCAATTAAGCAACAACAGAGTGAACTTTTTGTTTAGTACATGATAAAG